TAAAAAATGAATTTCAAATTACAAATAAAATCAATATGAATTCTACCAAAGCACAATTAATTACCAAAAAAAAAAAAAAGAAGTGTTTAAAGAGAGAGAGAGGACGAGAAAGATGGAGTAATTTTTTGAAGTGGAAATTATAGGCGACCAAGTTTTTTCAATTTCAATTTCAAAAATCAAGTTTAGGGTTTATTTATACAAAAATCAAGTAATAATTCCACATATTAATATTAATAGTAATATTATAAAATTAAATTAATCTATAAACCAACATACCTCCATCTATCCTACCAAATTTCACTCTAAACCTCATCATTTCCCCTTTCCCTTCTCTCTCTATTTCTCTTCATTCTTTCTATCTCTACCTTCCCTTTCTATATCTCTCTTTACCACACATCACACCTTGGAGGCATCGTCGGACAAGTGATCACGATGCCACCACAACATCGCTGCTCTGAGAGCTAGTTGCACAGCGACGAAGGATCGTCTGTGTGTAGTCCCACTACAGCAGTGGCATTGTGAGCGCCGCACGATGTCACTGTAGCAATGTCACCTGTTATAGTGGCATCGCTTGACACCATTGCACAGCGACGATGGTACCGTCTACTCACATTGCCACTGCAGCATTGTGGAATGGAGGTGTTTTGCAGTGGTTGTGCAATGATTTTGGGGTGGTGTTTGCAACTGGTGGTAGTGGTGCTGGTGTAAAGGTGGTGATTGTGGTGGCGGTAGTGTGGTGTGGAATGGTGGTGGTGGTTGTTGGTTGTGGTGGTGGTGGTGGATTGGCGATGGTATGTCATACCTTCTCCATCGTATACAAGTAAGTCGGCTCAAATGTCTTACTTCTCTTTTCAAGCCACTGCATTGTAATATTAACATCAATCACAATCTAAGATTACAAATAAAAATGACAAGATTCCAATCACAAAGCTTTCACACTAATATCAAACATCTTCATATACTTTCACTCTATATCAACAGAATAAGAAGGTAGCTCATACTAATCACACAAAATATGAGGAACCAATAATTAATTAAAGTAAGAATTTCAAAAAATCCAAAATTCTAACCAATAATTATGCTCTATATCTAGCCTGATTCGGAGTAAACTGTCAAAGGAAATAAAAGGGAGAAGCGAAAAAATAAACTTCTATCATGAAATTTTATATTCTTAATCAATGTTTTATTATAGGGAAAAAACTGATAGCAGGCCAATAAACACAAATTAAATCCTTTTGCAGCCATTTCTGGCTTTGGTTGCAATCAAGAAATCAACATCATAGTCACATTACTCAAGCTAGAAATAGTCTATTGACAATTAGACGATGACGGTCCAAAAGAAATACACCAACCAAAATCAAAGACAATGGCTTGCAGATTTACAGGCTTAACAACAATTATATTACTCCTACAATAGCTAATTTCAAAGTTAAAATTACACATACAATCTGATATTTGAACTATAGGCATTACGAAGTGTTGGAGAAAAAATATAAATAAATTACATCCCTCCAATCAAAAAGAAAGCTCGAGCAGTGTCTGTGGTGTGGGAGAGTGCCGTGGGAGAGAAGACGGGCGAAGAGTGGTGTGGCTGTATGGGAGACTCGGACGGGAGAGAGGAGAGGAGAAATGAGGCTGAGGGTTTCAATTCAGGCATATTGGGCTAAATAATTGGCCCATTTTTTATTATAAGAATCGGGCATTTTTTACGGCGTGCTACAATGCACGCCGTGTCTTCTGAATTTTGTTTTTTACAGCATGCAGCAATGTTTTTTACAGCATGCAGCAATGCATGCCGTGTATTCTATTTTTTTTTTTTAACGACGTGTAACAATGCATTCGGTAAATTGTCAAATTTTACGACGTGCAAAAAATGTACGCCGTAAATACTTTATGCAATTGATCATTTACGGCACATTTTTCTTGCACGCCGTAAAAAGCGACAAGCGTCAATTGCACACCGTAAACATATGCTGTAAAACCCTATTTTTGTTGTAGTGATTGTGACCAATAAATTGATTAATTTGTGATCAATAAATAAATGTGACTTAAAAAATGTTAGATTCCGATTAAATTTATAATCTTGACTCATAAATTGTTACACTGTGACAAACTAATTTAATAATTGGTAATCGAGAAATAACTGTGACCAATGAATTTGATAATTTGTGACTAGAAAATAAGTTATGAATTAAAATTTGAGATTTTTTATTGAAAAATAATACGTGACTTTGTAGTTTGATAATTTGTGACCTATAAATAAATTGTGAGTCATAATCAAGGAATAATACGTGATCCATTAATTTGATAATTTGTAATCGAGAATAAGCTGTGACCTATGAAATTTGTAAGCTTAATATATTTAATTAATAAAATATTTTTTAATTAGTTATTTAGAGCATGTTTGTCTACCATTATTGGTAGAGAAATTGAGTAAGGAATAATATTTTTTAGAGAATGTATGGTTGAAATTTAAA